CCCCAAAACCCCAAAACCCCAAAACCCCAAAACCCCAATTTCAATACAAATTATTGAAATTCCAAAAATAATTATGATCAAGAGATCAATTAAAAAGGTAAGAGCTTTAGAAGAATAAGGAGATAACAAAGAGATTATGATGAGATAGTAGATCCTGATGAAAAAGATTGTTCGTGGTTGCTCTAATTTTTTGAAAGATGTGATTTCTTGAATTTCCATTCATAGTTTAAGACAATTTATCCAAAATATTTACATAACTTGTATTTCATAGTAATGATGAAGACTCTAATCATACTCAAGCCTAATTTTACAGCATCATTTGGCCTACCATCAATTACTAACCTCACTTCCCTCATCCTCTCTTTCCTCTTTCCTTTCAAACTATAAAACATCTTTCTCCCTCAAACTCCAAACCTATGCAACGAATACTTACAGAGGTTATACTTATTTCAAACCTAATACAATTCTATACTGTCTCAAAAACTTCCAATCAATCCAAAATACCCTCTGAACTATCTTCTAGTACATTTTCTAAACAATCCAATTTCACTTCAGCCCCTCTAATTCTATCTTTCTCTAGCGAACGGCACAACAAGAACTGAGTTTGATCCTTACACCTATAACGTAACTTAAAAATGACTTTGCTAACTTTTTGGTGTTTAAGACCTCCAATTTTGGGATAGATTATCAAAAAAGAAACCTTTAGATTGGTACTTGCTCTTTAATAATAAAGAGTGAGTGTTTTATGTATTATGCATTAATTCCGGCGGTTAGTAGGCAGATTGATGTCCCAACTTCACTCTAAATACTTTAAAGTAAAAGACCATCTCTATATTAGTTATTATAAGAAAATTTAAAAAGAAACACCCACTTTCTAAATCAAATATCATAATAGAGTAAAACTTTACTCCCGTGTGGCAAAGTCTTATAACAGAAACAGAGGTTTTCGAGAAATAGGAACGAAAACAGTGCGTTCTCCACAGATTAATCAGTTCGCAAACGCAATGAGTAAGTATTTCCCAAAAATAAGGAGAGGGAACATACAAGCTCCATTTGTAGATTAATGTGGAGATATAGACAAAACTCTAGCAAAAGAGAGCCCCAGACTGGTTGAATTTGAAGAGGACATTCTTCTAAAAAATAAGAAAAAGTCTGCTAAAGAAGAGGAAAAATAAGTATAACCCAACACCAAGGTGGGAGCCGTCTGAAATTTGTAGGATTCACCAGGATTACTCAAGCTTCTTTAAATCAATCAGTCGAAACAAGTACTCAAGAGTGATGGTCAGGAGACCAATGTCACCTGGCGTCGGTTGGTATCGGCCAAAATACGAATCAGTGATCCCTTCGCCTAAAAACTTCATCATCCGAGACCTAAAACTTCACTCTCCTTCCCCTAAAAAACAGCGTAGGAGGTTATGCAAGCGGTTTGCTCGTCACCTAAAATCCGTAAGCTTCCACACTCACCCTCACAGCCTCGCCATGTTCGATAATCGCTCTATTTCAACAGAGATTTCCTAAATTGGGGTTTTGGGGTTTTGGGGTTTTGGGGTTTTGGGG